ACACACAGACACGCACACACACACACAGACACACACACACACAGACACACACACACACACACACACACACACACAAAACTGGTCGACAATTTTGACTATTGCCAGCACGGTTTTCTCAAGACAGGTTGCTGCAGAGGTTCGAAGTTTCTGGATCAGGTGGCAAGCTGCAAGGCACTTTGGCCAAAGGACATGCAGCTGCTGATGGCAGTGGGCCAAGTCTCACAGGCAGAGCATGTCCTCAAAGCCGAGTGTTCCGTTGAGCATCTGAGCAACAAGTGCCTTTCAGGGCCTAGGGGCCTAACATTCGTGCAGGCTTGGCCAGATTTGCCGGCAGCCTCTGCCATCGCTGGGCTTCAAGGAGAGTTTGGTGAGCATAGATTTGGGAAGATTCGGAGCCTCATTAAGCCAGCGACGGCTTTCTATTGTTTACTGAATACTGACTGTCCCCCTGTTATGATTGAGATGTCCTGAGGTAAGGAGGTCGTGTGGGCTCATCGCATCCGAGCCGGGCATTGTCTTATCTTGTCAGTCTTACGCTTGTTTTAACGGGTTCAACATGGTTCAACCGCCTCGAAGAGTATGATGGCAGGATCTCTAGACAAGCTGGAATGTGTGGTGCAGCGTTTCTTCCTGTACAGGAGGAGCTTCACCGGCATTCTCGCAGGCAGGGCGAGCGATCAGTAGACCCGTCTCAGGTCCCAGAGCTGCTCTGTGAAGGTACCTTCCACACTCCTGGTCGTTAGTCCTGCCCTCTCCTTGCTGGGCAAGTCTTCCGCCTTCCGAGTGGGGGCCCCGGAATTGACGCGAGCTTTGGAAACGATCACGCCCATCTTAATTCTTCGAGGCGCTTTGGTCGCACGAGGGTTGCGGTGCGGGCCGATTCGAGCCTTCAGAACTGCAGTTGCTTGGTGTGCCACGAGAAGACAGCAGGCGTGTGGAACACATGCGCTCGATGGGGCCTCACAAGTGAGGCTCTCTGCAATCGCCTGGGCCGGCTTCTACAGCTCCTTGCAAGCACCCGAGGTGGGGTCCATTGGATGAAGAAGAGAGATTCGTGCTTTGGTTTCTTCAGGTTGACGTTTCGCAGAGGTGAGAAGTTGGTTGAGCGGGCGGTTCTGCTTTGCTTCGCGGCGGTTCGCTTCGCTTCGCTTCGCTTCGCTTCGCTTCGCTTCGCTTGGCTTCGCTTGGCTTCGCTTGGCCGCTGCGAGGCCTCCGAGCTGCCTCTGTTGGCCCTGGAGCCCGTCCTCGGAAGGCAGAGAGCGCAGCGGCCAAGCCGGCAGCGCGCACTTCGCACCCCAGTCGTGCAGGCTGCAGGATGCCGAAGAGCTGCGGCTGATGGCGGTGACAGGCCCATCGGTGTCGGTGTAACACAGATCCGCTGCCATGAGCGGAGCAGGGGCAACAAGGTCAGCACGCAACAGACAGTCACACAACAGGTGCTGTATGAGGGAGCATGGAAGAGAAGTGGTGCTTTTTGCAGGATCCACCCTCCAGCTCAGCGATGGCAAGATTGTTGCATGGGGCACTTCAGATCCCAGCGCTGAGTGGGAGGCAGGTGCATCAAAGCCGTATGCTCCTGCACCTGCAACACCTCCCGACAAGAGACTGTATCGAGCATCTAAGTCTAGGGCCCTGAGAGTACAGAGAACTACATGTTGGACTTGTGAGGCGGCAGCCACAGAACTCGCCCGGAAGCTTTGGCACAGCCTCTCCGTGAAACGCTGCCATGGCGCACTGCAGCAGACGCTGTCCGGACTCCGGGAGAAGCTCCTGGATGAGAAGACGGGCCAGAAGGAGCTTCGCTCCGCAGCGAGAAATTTAAGAAACGGGCTCTCGAGACTAGCCTATTTCTGTCTGTTCTTCTCCCGCCTGTCAGGAGGCAGATGCCGTGCTGGATGTTCTCGTAAAGCTGCAGGCTTGTTCACTGAGTCGACTTACTTGGAGCTGCAGAGATGCACACGTTCGCGTAGCTCAGGGGGCCTTTGAGAGCTGGGAGACTACGGCCCTGAAAAATCATGTGACTCGGCTGATTTTTCAAGAGGGTTACCTAGAAGGATGGGTGGCGCATCGGATGTCGTGAACTCTTTGATCGCAGTTTGTGACTCGAGTGTGTGCACAGACACATCTGGTGGCGAGCATCTCCCTTGCAACACGAAGGGGCCGATCGGAGCACTGACGGCACAGATTGATGCTCGGCTTCTGATCCATCCAGAGGCTCGGAAGTAGATTCCTGAGGGCTCGATCTCGCCTGTGTGGTGTACTGGTCTCTGCTGCGGAAGAGGCCCTGATGACAAGCATGCTGAACTCTTTCGAGATGCTGCAGTGGCCACATGCCTGGATACACTGTTTGGCAATGCTTGGCGTGGTGTTGAAGTTTGGCGACGTTTGCTGTGCGATACAGGTTGCGGAAGATGCCCGATGACTCAGACTACTTGGCCCCATGTCTGAAGCGGACGATGTTGATGGCAAGATTCTGCTCAGCTGCTCGTGATCTTTGCTTGTTCGACCCCCGCTTGCCACTTGCTGGTAGGATTCATGGTTCCAAGGTGCGAATCGAAGTCGCGCTCAACAGATCAGAAATGGAAGTTCCTATGGAGCTGTGGCTCGCTGCAGAAGGTGTCCAGCCTCACGTGCTTTGCGGTTTGAGATCTCACAACAAGCCAGACTCTCGTACTCCGGACAGGTCGCGTCGATGAGAGCAAGCTGTCGGCACTCACAGCGGTGCGGACGACGCTGCACGTCCTTGGGCCCCAAAAGCTTTGTCGGTTTAATGAAGCTCGCACTTGCGTTTTTGAGGGTTTGAGGGCCTGCTGAGCAGTGGGTTGGCAGAGAGAGCACCATTCGCGAAGTCCAAGAAAGCTCCACGAGGACCTCATCTATCGTGCAAAGAGCGGCTTCTCCACGCTGGATGCCCTGCTGGAGTCCCTGTCCAGCCTGGAGCATTCGACGGAGCTTTCAGGAACTCGCGCGGGAGAGTCTTGTGAGGATGTCTGAGAGGTCTTGAAGCTGTTTCGATGGGTTGCAGTTGCTTTTCCCAAGTCGAAGGCCTTGTCGAAGCCCTGGACTTCGCCTTCTCCCTGCTGGGACCCCTCTCGGAGCTCTTGGGTGGCAAGGCTGGTAAGCTAAAGCACAGTAGGGCCCGAGCCCAAGCTTCAAAGCCGTGGAAGTTGCACAAGTCGCTCCGGGCAGGATGCAGCGTTGGCACGGATGCTGCAGATGCTGAAGCCTACTAGCTGTGCCCGTTGGCTGCTTTGCTATCCAAGGTGGGGCAAGTGATCAAGTGATCGGGAGAGTCCAAGTTTTCCCATTGCCTCTTGCAGGCTGGCAGCACCCAGTCCGGCAGATGATAAGGCACAGGAGGAAGAGGAGGAGACACTGGCACAGACACCTGCGGAAGCGCGGATGCTGTACCTCATGCTGAGCAGCCCAGGCTGGCTCGTTGTGAAGCTGACTTGGGAGGTTTCTTTCGACGCCAATGGCGCGAGGGACTCGTGGCCCATGAACGTACAAACTGATTAGTGTTTCTTTTGCAGATCGCTGCTCCCTTCACGGCAGAAGTAGGGACTGTTCGGTGATGGGTTCCGAAACCATAGAATAGAAGATCCTTTTTGCATGGTAAGCGAGTAAAAAGCTCGCTAGTAAGGTCGCATGTGCGTTATGACTCTGACCGTTTCGGAGCCAGTCTCAATGGCACGTCTTTTGCAAGCCGTGAGCTTGCATGTTTTGCCGTCGCACTGAAGTTCTGGCGTAAGCTTCCCTGAAACTGCAGATGCTGCGCAAGCGTCTGCTCCGCAGCGGCTGGTTGAAATCCTGGACTTCCAGGCCAGGCATTTTTACGACTTGGAGTTGATTCAGGAGTTTTGCTGCCTGTGCAGCTGAACATGCCGTAGCATCGCGGATTGGGTTGTGAAGGCCTCCGTGACACTGGCAGCGAGTACCTTCGACGCCGCATTTGGACAGGCAGTCAGAACACTGGGACAGAATGCATCACGCTGCTGAGTCGGCTGGTTGTTTACGCGGCGGTTTTGGGTGGTTCCGCTCGGGAGGGATGTCAGCTCAAGCGACACCCTGGTCGTTCAAGCTTTCTTGAGCTTATGTTTTGAGCGCATTCTCTGGTTTTTCCTAACAATCAGGTGCGTGGTTTGGCTTTGTGTCCATGGGTCGGCATTGAGAACTCTTCGTCGAGACGTTTCGGCTTCAGCACAAGCCATTTTCGCTCATAGGGCATAGGGCCACGCACAGACGTAGAGGGGCCATGGCCAGCACGATCGGACCTCGACCTCGATCTCCGGAGATTGAGCAGCCGGATGTCGAGAACGCAACTAAGCTGCCTTGCATTTTAGGTGGTCTTTGTGGTTGCGGTTGGATAGGGATCTGCCTGGCCTTTACCTCAGCATCTTTCCTGGAACATGAGCCGGTGGCCAAGCTAATTCTCGGAGTGATGTGGTGTGGCTTTCTGGGCATCATGGCAATGTCGGCATTGCTTTTAGTCCGTGCGCCCACCGTCGTCAACCTCAAGCCCGGTCTTGAGTTCGTGTGGGCGCGCATGGACTTCGACACGCTCAGCGCCGCATCCGCCACCCCGGAATTTTATGTCATGCGCTTAGAGGCAGGAGCCAAGCCGCAGAGGGAGCAAAAAGCCAACCTATCCTGGACGAAGCCGTGGGCACAGAAGACGTGCCTTTGCTGTTTGGATGATTTCAAACAGGAAGACAAGGTGGCCCTGCTTCCTTGCGGGCACGCTTTTCATGAAGACTGTCTTGTAGAATGGTTCTCTGCTCGGAAAGCACGTGGCACTTGCCCCATCTGTCGTTACAGCACGCTCGTCTAAGCACCGGCGCCTTGCATGACCTGCAAGCCTCCGTCACGACTTGCAAACACCACGACATCTTACCTTATGTGCCCTCGCATGTACAGCAAAAGTTTTAACATCTCCTGACCGCGGGCGGGCATCCTCGCCTGCAGGATTCTACCTGTTTTTCGTTTGAGTGAGAACAGGTGCGTTTTTGTTGCTGAAATGGTTGGTGCCGCTCCACCGGTGCAGTCGAAGCTTGATTGCAACGGTTCTGCAACATGATTTGTTCGTGCGACAGTGAGGAAGTCGCACCCACCACCAAGCTTCTTCTACACTTTCCCCGGCAGGATGAACAGGACATCCTGACGACAACAGAAAGTGTCCTTGTGGAATTACATGAGATTACATGATTTTCCCTCTTGTCTCAGATCAGGTCTTAGGTCATGTGAAGCTTTGAAGCCTTGCTCCCGAACACCTGCTCTTCTTTTGCATGTTGTACAGGATGTAAAGACAGACCTCGTTACAGGGGACTTCTCGCGGCAAAGCTGGTACTTGACTGGCCTGCCGCCTTGTCCAGTCCCGGAAAAGTCGACTGCCCGCCATTCCAGCTGCCCCTGCTCGGGCGTGGTTCGCCGAAGTTGCAGTTCCTGCAACGAGCTGCACGCTGCGCAGGTTCGGACGTTCAATGAGCAAATCGGGCTGGTACGTCTGGCGGCTGCTGCACGGAGCTGAGTTCACATGCCTTCATGCATGGGACAACTTAACTTCGAGCGTTTCAGGTCCTTGATGACTTGCGTGTGGCCGGGCATCCAGACTACCAGGCTCGGCCGGCCTCTCCGATGCCACACATGGATGAGCCTCATGTGAAGGAGATCCACGTGGAGTGGCCGCTCTCGTTGGGGCTCAGCGACATGAAGAGTCAACTCCATGCACTCCGTGAGCGGCAGGCGATTTCTTGAAGTAGTAGCACTTAGTAGCACATGCAGATTGACTTGCTTCCGCTGCTGGTCTCGTCGTTGTTGCTTGTGGGGACAGCCGTCAATTACGGGTGCGTGGTGTTTTGCCATCTACGTACTCCGTGTCTTTGGACGTCCTGACCCTTGGGTTTGCGGAAAGCTTGTTGACGGCGGCCGGTAGTTAAAGTGAAGCTTGGGACTATTGCACATCTAATTGCGTCGTGTTCATGAAATCGACCATCGCATATAGGGAAGGCGGGCTAGAAAGACTCGTTGAAACCTCACCATTTGTGGAACCGTGGGCCCGTTGGTCATGTGCAGCTAGGCACGTGGAGCGGGGTTTTGAGCACCTTCAACCCGCAGCCCTGCGGCACCGACGCCTGCTGTCTGCCAGCTCTTCACCGCTCAAAGATGCACTCGGCCCTGGGGCCCCTCTTTCAGGCGAACTGGCGCCAGAACTTGATCAAGGCGCAGCAGACCTTTCCGGCCTTTCGACTGCAAAAGAAGCCCAGGTCGGAGAAGTGACAAAAACGAAATATCCCAAGATACCAACCTAAGCTGCCTGCAGCCTCGAAACCCCCAAAGCCTACAACAGGTCCTGGGATTCTTCGCTGCGCGTCAGCTCGGCTGTCTCCTGAATGCCGTGTCGCATGACCTACGTGAGCACGCGGAGGAGGTCGGCTGTCGATTCGCAGTCCTTTTGTGTCTGCTGGGGGTTTCCAGCATGAGAGATCCAGACCCAAGGCCCTGAGCCTTCCCATGTCCTTGTGCTCCCCTGCCCCTGTCAGGTCCTGGCTGCAGTTGCGTCGACGTGGCTTTGGCAATCGCAGGCACGAAGCCAAGACCTAGAACTTGCGTGCTTGGAAGAAACCCTCAAGACAGCATGAAGCCCAGCTCAGAAAGGGGCAGGCCGTCCCAACTCGTCCAAACCGACAAGGCAGAAGCATGGTCCTCGGATCTCCTGAAGCGCTGCCGGCTCCAGACGGGTGCAGAGGACAAGGGCACTTGGCTGGATCAGAGTCGAGCTATCGCGATGATGGCAGCTGAAGGTGCCACGTGATATCACACTGATTGCCACCGTGAGTTCTCCTCGGCCATACATCCGTGCCGAATGTGCCAGGATGCTGCTGCGCTGCTGCAGCAAGACTCGCAGAACCTCGAGACTTTGGCGAGCGCACTGCAGGCTGGTCGAATTCGACGATTTTGCTCGTATCTTCTTCCTGCTCCTGCTCCGATGTACTCGTCCGTCAGTCGAAGTAAGAAAGCTAGCATGAACATCGTGCGAATCCGTCTGCAAATCTGCGCATGCCGGTCTGCTGACGATCAGCCTGTATTTTTGCAGGCGACCTGGATGCAGCACGGTGCGGAGAGAGTCGTGCGGGCACCAGCTGCAGCCAGTGATGCGGGCGAGGCTTGCGCCGTGGTGCAGTGCGGAACGGCGCTGAGATTCTGAGAGTCTCTCAGAGCTTGTCGAGGTTCTTGGGCAGCTCGGTCCCGGAGCTCACGTCCGGATCTTCAGAGACCTCCTTCGCGGTCTTCGCGTGCTTGTGCTGGCTTACCTGATACGCTGCCCGCGCTGGAGGTGGTCTTGGCAACGGACTTCTACAGCGCCGTCGCCCTGCTGTTTCCTGGCCCTGGCTAGGATCGACTCGGCTTCTGTGATTGCGGTGTACCGCATAATTTGGTAGGTAGGTTGGTTGGTAGGCTAGTTGCAGAGATAAAGATCTACAGCCACATAGGCGATACAAACTTGCACACTTTGCGGGTCAGAGGGAGGATTGCACCAGTGTGTGGATGGTTGCGGTGCAAGGCAGAAGAAGCAGAGAATGGACGACGTGAGTTAAGAAACGAAAGAACATGTTTCGAACAGTGTGACGAGAACGCGCCTGATCATGCTGCTGAAATTTCACGTGAGCTCTGGATGCTCAGTGGCCCTACCAGAGTCATGGCAGGGGTGACGTTTTCGAGTTACGACATATTCGCTCGTGGCAGACAACCCGGTGATTATGCGCGAACAGAGATGTATGTTTGGGGACCGAAGGCGAAGACTTCAAGCCTCACCTCGCTGGAAACGTGCATCTTTCATCTCCCGCGGAACAGCACGCGCAAGCAAGTACTAGTACTGTACCTGTTAGTACTCTCAGTAAGTTTTGGCTCTTTGATGAGGTCGTGGCCCTTCCTGGCACGACGACTTCGGCCTGCTGCGTGGGAGGCTCTTCATGAGCATCATCCTTGTCGAGACTTCCCTGCACACATAGCTGTCAGAATCGTCTTTTGCATTGCGAATGCTGTCTCCCCTTGGCATCGTGCATAGGGCTACAATCCACTGACATTTGGTGCTCTTTCCGCATTCTTGGCTGTGGCCACGTGCACGCTGCGAAGGTGCTCCCGTGCCATGTGCGAACCACCCCTGAGTCCGTGCAGCTCCTCCTGCTAAGGCGAGGTCCAGTGTGTCCGTGGTGCTCAGAGTAAGAAAGCTACGATGCTATTTCGGTAAGTTGGATGCATTGACACATGTTGCTGTCTGCCTGCTTGCCACAACGTGGTTCATCACGCCAACCGGCAGCAAGGTGGGCACACTGCCAACCTGGACAATTCTTCGGATTGCTGCTTCCTGCAGAGGCTTCTTTTACAGTCAGGCGTTGTCACAACAGTAGTGCATAACCAAAGGTGTGCTAAGCTCGTCAAAAGTAGGAAGCTCGTGCATGTTGAAAGAGGCCGCCTTTGCCACACAGCAAATTGTGGTCCAAGCCGCCTTTGCCTCAGCAGCACAAATCGGAAGTGGTCTGCAAGGCAGTTTTGAAATTTAGCAGCAACTCAAATCCGCCTAGGTGCACGATGCCGTTGACGAGGCGGGGCTTCCGAGTGGCCACACCGCGCTGGATCCCAACCTGAGAGCTTTGCTTTATTTTCTTAGTGCTCTGGAGGCAGGGCCGCTTCCATCGCCGAGCTGCCCTCTGCTGATGTTGGTCTGTGGCGAGAATGCTGCGCAGGCCACAGGGTCGTAGATGCGCATGCAACATGAATATAAACTTACGGTGAGGACCCAGGCTAATGTAGTGAAGGGGCGACTTTCTCGAAGGTTCACTTGCTGTCAAGCTCCAAGGTTCAGGGTGGTTATCGTGAATCATAGCCGTCTTGTTACTGGCCAGGCACATGTCTCCACCCAGCTCATGCAGCACCGGGTGGAAGCATCACAGCCTCCTGCGCATGAGTTCGCCGACAAGGCCCCTAAAGCAAACATGCAGGACCGCCTGGCTTCCAATGCATCAGCCGCACCCCTTCGGATCCCGTCAGGTTGTCCAGCTCATTTCCGCTGGTGACGCTGCTGGTCCTTCAGTGCATGTCAGCCCGTTCCCTGCCCAAGACAGCGTAGCAGCGACAGAGAGGGGCTGCAATGTGGGAGTGTTCAGAGGGTCACATCTACTCGGTCACCTGCTATTCGCCGTGGAGGCTGAAGATGACTTCGGCATGACTTGAGATGACTTGAGTTTCAATGTCCGATTCGATGGTGCCAAAGCAGATCGTAGATAGTTTCCAGTGGACTCAGGCATTGCGGATGTGGCAAGACTTTCTCGGTCCGGATGTCTGCAAAGGACGTTGTCTTTGCGTATAGCCATATAGCCTTTGTGCTGGCTCGATCTAAGAGGCGGCTGAAGACTTCCGCACTGTGGAGGAGCAGGGTGCCAGCTATCGGCAGCTTAAGCTGACGGCTGCACTGGGCTTCGGTGCACTCGGGCGAAGCCTCTGCGGAGCAGTGGAAGGCGAGATGAACAGAGGTCCAATCGAGTTCAGCTCTTGTTCTCCAAAGGTGTTCAGGGGCCGGTGCTGCTGCATCTAGACCTCACAGCCGGGCTACCGTGCCAGCCTCGGGTTCAGGTATCTCCCATGCAAGCAACCCAACCAATTGACACTGACAATGAAGGCTGCTCAGTTCGGAGTCCTTTGCTGCCGCTCTCTTCGACACTTGCATCTCGCAGTAGGGGCAACTGGTACGGTTCAGCAGAAGATGGATGTAAAACGGTCTTGCCTGATGTGTGAGCGATCCAACGACATCGGAAGCATGCAGGCACGAATGCACGGAACGAAGGGCCAGGGTGCAATCCAAGGAGCTCATCGTGCTCGGCCGGGTGGCCCGCATGGGAGCCGACAGGGCAGATGGAATCTTCAAGCTTGACAGCAGGCTCGGACGTGAATGGTAAGACCATGTGACCAGCTCTAGGGATATGCTTGGGTTTTCGCTGAAGAACGCCTGGGCTCAGCCCACTGATTTCGCGAGGGTGAGGGTGGCAATCGAGCTGCCAGCTGGGGTCGAGCAGCCGGAGGTGCCTCGGCCGCCTGAGAGACTTGTTGGTGTACGAAAAAAGAACGCTCCCGCCCCCGCGACCGAGACCGCGCCTTGGCGCTGTGGGCCGCTGCTCAGCGCCGAGCTGAGACAAAGATGAAGACTGGAGAGAAGCAGAGACGGGAGCAAAGCGAAGCGCGCCTCCCTGAGGCTGGCTCCCGCGTGTCAGGAGCACCGTGAAGGCCGGGGGGGGGGGTGAAACACTGAATG